CCCCGCCCTACCCGCCCTACCCACCCAACCCACTCTACAATACCGTCTTAAATATCAAGCTCCAGGTCATACTTCCCAAACCTCTAATTTTAGTCCTCTAACACCAACTTCTCATCCTTCTCCGATATTCATTCCCAACCATCACTCTTCCACTCCATCCCTTCCATCCACTCCACCTCCAGTTCCATCCCGTCCTCCTCCTCCACTTACACCTACTTCACCGACCTTCCTCTCTGGCCCCTCCCCCTCCCCCTCCCCTACCCAGTGTGACACAGACTTGAAGTTCACAGATTGGAACACTGCGCTAGGTAAGGGAAACTTTAATCTGTTGATAGATCGGTTCATTAATTGACTATTTTATTAAGACGATTCATGATTAAAAATAAATCTGGTAGATGTTTTTTTTACATTTGAGGTTTGGGTAGAGAATGAGGAGATAGGGGTTGAATGAAAAGAATAGATATTAACAGAACTGATTGCATGAATTAAATCTTTAATTATTGATTTTATGATTAGTTAATTTATTCCTTTATAATTGTACCTCTACATAGATATGTTTGGAATACTGGGAATAGATCTAGAACGGATATACTTCTGTATCCTGGATATCTTGGATATTCTCAGCCTCAACCAAGATCCGGAGCTGGAGGTTGACCCAATCCGTCCTGCTCTTCTCTCCCAGCTTGCAGGACACCTTGGAGTCAGTCCTGAAACCCTAGAATTAACCTTAGCAGCTGAACAACAGGTCATTTTTTAATATTATTTAAACTTTCTTATTTTATGATGATTACATTGTTTACGAATAAAAGATAATAGGGGGGAACTTTTTTCTCTGTTTTAAAATAATCACTTCTAATTCGTTTTTTGCATTTTTGCACATATTTTGTCTCAGGGTTAATATTTGGCATAGCGCAAAAAAAGCAAATGTTTAGAAAAGAAACAAATTTGGCATTTGTTAAACTTTTTCAAGTTTTTATTTTAAACAAACGAAGCTACAAGCAATAAGCACCACTACCATTACTGCTAGTTAGTAGTTAGGATTGCATCTATAAAAGTAAACTGAAAAAAAACTATTTACTTAAAGAGAGCCGTAATACCTTTTATGAAAACCTTTAAAAATTTCATAAAGACCATATTTTCTACGTACGGGAATTAATTTCTTAAGAAAGTAAAAAATAAGTGAGATTGATTGAAAAATAATGTTTATTCCAATCATCAATTTCTCTGGTTTTCATGAAAAGATTAAAATTTTTATCAACCAGCAGGTGTCCATCCTTCCCCTTCTCCTCATCCTTCCCCCTCTCCTCATCCTTCCCCCTCTCTCTACCCTATCCTACTATCCTATTATCCTACTATCCTACTATCCTACTATCCTACTGTCCTACTATCCTACTATCCTACTATCCTACTATCCTACAATCCAACTATCCTACTATCCTACTATCCAACTATCCAACTATCCTACTATCCTACTATCCTACTATTCTACTATCCTACTATCCTACTATCCTACTATCCTACTATTCTACTATCCTACTATCCTACTATCCTACTATCCTAATGAAACCTAGGATATACCAGACAAGGATAGTTTATATACCAGTGAAACCTAGGATATACCAGACAAGGATGGTTTATGTATCATTGAAACCTAGGATATAGCAGACAAGGATGATTTATATATCAGTGAAACCTAGGATAAACCAGACAAGGATAGTTTATTTATCAGTGAAACCTAGGATATACCAGACAAGGATACTTTATATATCAGTGAAACCATAGGATATACCAGACAAGGATAGTTTATATATCAGTGAAACCTAGAATATACCAGACAAGGATAGTTTATATATCAGTCTAATCAAGGATAAATATATTCTGTTTCCTATATATCCTAGAGTAAATATATGACCTACTGACCTACTGTTTATTATGAATGTCCAGCTATTAAGTACACCGTGTGCTGTATCCTCTAAAACACGATGAATGCTGGAGTCTCCAATCTGTATAATTTAGCTCATAAACTCTAAGTTCAACCTCTCTGCTATTACCCATCCTGATCTCTGACCCTCCCCCCCCNATTATTATTATTATTATTATTATTATTATTATTATTATTATTATTATTATTATTATTATTATTATTATTATTATTATTATTATTATTATTATTATTATTATTATTATTATTATTATTATTATTATTATTATTATTATTATTATTATTATTATTATTATTATTATTATTATTATTATTATTATTATTATTATTATTATTATTATTATTATTATTATTATTATTATTATTATTATTATTATTATTATTATTATTATTATTATTATTATTATTATTATTATTATTATTATTATTATTATTATTATTATTATTATTATTATTATTATTATTATTATTATTATTATTATTATTATTATTATTATTATTATTATTATTATTATTATTATTATTATTATTATTATTATTATTATTATTATTATTATTATTATTATTATTATTATTATTATTATTATTATTATTATTATTATTATTATTATTATTATTATTATTATTATTATTATTTTTATTATAATCATGATTATTATTCTTATCATTACCTTTCATTATAATTATTTTGAATAATATGTTCAGAGTGTTCCACCCAGCCTGCCTGACAAGCGGTCTTATATAATAAGTGGAGGAGTAAAGATAGATTACAAGTTCCCAAAGTATGGAAACCTTAAACATAGGCCTTGAAGCTCAAGCCTATCAAATATTGGCCTGACACAGCCTGTTGCCTGCCAACATTGATCAGACTAAATCTGAATGAACATTTAAAGGGAGTGATCATCCATTTTATAAAAGGGGATTGGTCCCCAACAGATTAATAAGAAGTGTTAGAGAAAATCATGACTTAACTGCTGCATAATTGGAATCAGTTGCGGTGAAAGGTTTAACCCAAATAAACAGTTTTAAAAACAACAAACTGGCTTCAAAATAATATCGAACACTCCCTTTCTTGTTTTATACGATTCATTCCAGATTTATTATCATATCAAAATATTTATCTTAATCTTTAATTTAGTATAAACCAAAGATATTAATAATGATAATGGTTTCAAATATATAAAGAAAGAAAAAATATTTGTATTAGTCCTCTCTGTAAAGTCCTCCCTTTTGTCCTCTATATAGTCTTCTATATAGTCCTCTCTCTGTGATTTATGATATTTACTTTTAATTTTATTAAGACAAAATTTAATCAATAAATTTTTATTTATTTAACGTTTCAATTGGTATTAGAGAAATGATAGTAATTGTTCAAAATTTAGCGCCGACTGTTAGATTAAACTAAATATAAAAACATGGTTCAAATAACACATTACTGAGCTGATGTAAGTTTTTAAACCGTTTTGTAAAATACTTTTAATCAGAATTTTTTTTATGGTTTTCGTTTTTGTTCGTGTTTCTTCTATTCTTATATTTGTGTCTTGAAGTTTGTTTGTTTGCATCAAGAAAAGCTCACAACTGAACCAATTTAACTCACATAGTAGTGTGACCGATGGCATGGCAACCGAATAAAAATAATGCCCGTTAAAAAATTTTCCGCCTCAAAAATTAATTGGATTTTATTTTGATTGCCTGGATTTAATTATGCAAAAAGAGTAATCAAAGTGAGATTTATTATAGATGAATTAAAATCATTAAAGCATATTATAATATAATTAACATTCTCAATAAAATAGAATGTACCCTGCAACGCTTTTGCGGATCAAGACACAATGAAAAAATGTTACTACAAAGCTTATGGCTTCATCGCTTCACGCGCAAAACTGAAATAAATTTCACGTTAAAGAAAAATTTTGTTTTCGAGTTTTAGTAATGTACGACATTCTTATTTACTATAATTGGTTTTGTGTAAATAATAACCTCTCAAAGTTTAAGCAAACTTTTTTGGGGGGATTCAGTATAACTATAACTAAAAAATCAATTAAATGCGGCACCATGACAAACTCCGGAAAGACAAACTCCGGAAAGACAAACTCCTGACGAGACAAACTCCTGACGAGACAAACTCCTGAAAATAAAAACTTCTGAAATACAAACTCCAAAATATCAAATTTAAAAAAATGTTTCACAATTTATATTTAATCTAGCCGCAGCGCTCGGCCCAGAAAGTGTCATAACTTAACCTAACCCATGGCCGCAGCGCTTGGCCCCCTAGCCTGTCCTAGCCGCAGCGCTCGGCCCAGAAAGTGTCTTAACTAACCTAACCCATGGCCGCAGCGCTCGGCCCAGAAAGTGTCTTAACCTAACCTAACCCTAAATAATAAAAAATAAATTATAATAAATTTGCTGGTTATTCTGATCATTGTAATACTTTGCTGCTTGAAACATATTCAAATTACTGAAGATTGAGAATTTTTTCTAGGATATTTGCGGATTTTGTCTCCTAAAGTTTATGAATTTTATCATATTTCATTCAGAGAAAAATTTCATAATTTCAAGAGTTTGTCTTTCAGGAGTTTTGTCTCGTCAAGAGTTTGTCTTTCAGGAGTTTGTACTTTCAGGAGTTTGTCTCGTCAGGAGTTTGCCTTTCCGGAGTTTGTCTTTCCGGAGTTTGTCTATCCGGAGTTTGTCATGGCACCTTAAATGCAGTATAATAGCCTCCGTATACAGTAAACGAGCCTCCGCTATACAATAAACGAGCCTCCGCTACACGGTAAACGAGCCTCTGCTATACAGTAAACGAGCCTCCGCTATGCAGAATAGTTTTCTTAAAGCTCTTGGTTTTAACATGGATATTAAAGAATTTATTATTTTTTCAAAATAGTGGTATAAAGAGTTTATCAAAGAAGTATTAATCAATTATAATAAATAATGACTAATAAAATGGTTTTTAAAACTTGAAACATTTTTTAAGCCAAAAGGAAAACATTTTTAGAAAAATTATTTTTATGAGATTAAGATAATCAAAAAATTTACATTTACAATGAATCTGAATCTAAAACAATTTCCCATTAAAGATATTGCTTTAATCAAAGAATTAAGCAACATAACAAAAAGTTCAATTCAGAAATGAATTTCCAAATGGCCCCCTTACTACGTAAGAAATGTTTTATTTTAAAACATAAATCTTATCAAGTACTTTATGAGTCAATATAAGTTTTAAATTTTGACAATCAATAAACAACAATAATCTTAAGTAAAATAGTTGTGCCACTATGTTAAAAGAAAAAAAAAATTCTATATTACATGTAAAAACCAAGAGTTATAAGGAGGCTGTGCTGTATAGCGGAGGCTCGTTTACTGCATGGCGGAGGTTCGGTCTGCATGGCGGAGGCTCGGTCTGCATGGTGGAGGCTCGGTCTGCATGGCGGAGGCTCGATCTGCATGGCGGAGGCTCGGTCTGCATGGTGGAGGCTCTACTTGAGGATTTATGTAGTCAGGACAATGAAGAAAAGAAATTGAGTATTTGCCACAAACTCAAATTTTCTATTTCCTAAATCTTTGAAGTTCGATGGTGTAGACCTTTTATATTTCAAACTTAAGAAATATTCTTAAACCTAGAATATAAAGTCTGAATACTCTTAAACCTAGAATATAAAGTCTGAATATTATTAAACCTAGAATATAAAGTCTGAATACTCTTAAACCTAGAATATAAAGTCTGAATATTATTAAACCTAGAATATAAAGTCTGAATATTCTTAAACCTAGAATATAAAGTCTGAATATTATAAAACCTAGAACATAAAGTCTGAATATTATTAAACCTAGAATATAAAGTCTTAATATTATTAAACCTAGAATATAAAGTCTGAATATTATTAAACCTAGAATATAAAGTCTGAATATTCTTAAACCTAGAATATAAAGTCTGAATATTATAAAACCTAGAACATAAAGTCTGAATATTATTAAACCTAGAATATAAAGTCTGAATATTATTAAACCTAGAATATAAAGTCTGAATATTATTAAACCTAGAATATAAAGTCTGAATATTATTAAACCTATTATATAAACTTAAATTTTCGTAATTTTTTTTAGAGTTTTAAACAAAGGGTGCCATGTACTCAATAATTGTTCAAGTAATTGTTATGATTTAAGTAATACGAGCTAACAACTCGTAAAATGTCAGTAAAAAAATATCCTAATTTAATCAAACTTATCAGTCATTCATAAAGAAAAAAATAAGAAAGATGAATATTTTAAAATTTATTAGATGTTTCCGTTTTGCACAACATTACTGATATACATTGCAACTTGTTTCCTGTCCAATTTGAATCTGTAAGACATTGAGTTAAGAAAGCTTAGTATACTTGATTAGCATTTTGCAATCAACCAAATTATTATTTCGAATGAAATTATTTTTGAAATATTAAACTTTTTCCGCAGTATTTAAATTTAAAGTTATCGCCTTCAATTAATTGTTTGATATTATTATATTATTGAAGGATTTATTGAAGGCTAAAGTCATGACCATTAAAAATAAAATTGCGCAGTGTATCAATTTCACATTTAGGTTGAATTAGAGGAGATGCACCAATCAATTTTTTGAATTATGGACACGTTAGATACATACAGGGTGTCCACAAAACATGACAGTAACAAAACGAGTTAAAGGTCGTATTTGGTTTTCATTTGCGACATTTATTCGTAAACCTAAGTTTAGAAGCAAAATTCTTGAAATAAATAATTATTAAATACCCTTATAGTCTTTGCATTACAAAAATGTGGTCTATCATTTTTGTGCTTTCAACATTACCGGAAATATGAAGAATTTTGTTAAAATTGCGATATTTTCAGTTTTATTTAATAATATAACATGTATGATTCTTGAAATTACAGCACAATTCTTATGGTCTTAGCATTTTCAAAATGTGGTCTGCCTTTTTTGTGCTGTCAGCATTACTGGAGATAATAAGAGTTTTGTCCAGATTTAAATTTTGTTCAATGAAATCCTGTAGAAGATCGTCCAAATGTCGTCTTCCTATTTCAAAGAGTTTCACTGTATAATTGTTTAAAGGGAGTGACCGGCTATGTAAGGTAGTTGAACTGTGTATGCAGTGTTGTTTAAAACTTCTTTCGGATTCATTTGAGACATATTAAACTTTTTAAAGATCTGTAAATCCTGAGCTTGAGCGCAAATTCGACGTTTAAAACTCCTACTTCGGGGGTGGATACGTTTTCAGAATTAGTTCTTTTTAATTATTAAACAACGACGACAGAAAATGTAAAAAAATTCTACATTAAACTACGTCATGTAAAGGAAAATTTATCTTATCATCGAAAATAAGTAATCTTGTTCAATTATTAGTTTCTATTTCTCAATATTCTGGTTTCTCATTATTCACTATGATTTTTTGCAGACTTTCTAGTATTATTATTGAAAAGACATCATTTGAAGAATTTGAAGAAATCTGCGAATATATTCAAAGAAAATAAGAAATTCAATATAATAATAAAAAAGAAATAATCGATTTTAGCATTGATTTATTTACAAATTTCTTTTGAGAAATATGTTCCTAACCATCTGATTAGATTATTTTATAATTTTACTTTATTTTTCGTTGTCGTTATTTAATAATTTAAAAAAAAAAAATAATTCTGAAAACGTATCTACCCCCAAAGCAGGAGTTTTGAACGTCGAATTAGAGCTCAAACTCAGGATTTACAGATCTTTAAAAAGTTTAATATGTCTCAAATGAATCCGAAAGAAGTTTTTCACAACACTGCATACTCAGTTCAACTAC